ACTTTTCAGCTGTTTGGGGGCAGAGTCAGCTTCCTCCTCAGAAAAAATCCTGAAAGTCTGGAGGTGTTTGGTTGATTTTAAGATTTAGAGCCATCAGGTGTGTTCTGCACTCTGTCAATCAAAGCTAGAGAGATCACTTTTCTACTTTCAAAGGAAAATATAGTAGCAGCTCAAGGAAAGGGAGCACTAGCTCAAAGACTTGTGGTTCATGCTGGTAAAAACAAACAAAACCGGTTATACTGAAGGTGGCATATCATCCATGATCAGTTGTGTGAGTGTGAAAGTCAGGCATTAGCACAATGTCAGGAATCTTACTGTTGTGAGTGAACCACAGGGGAGTGACTGTTATTGACTCCACTGTTAAAACCCACATGCCCTCCTAAGGACCTTTTAATAAAAAAAAAACATTGTGATCATGTTGGCTGTGTCATAGCTTGTGACATGGATTTTGCTGGAAATCTTCTTTTTAGTCCATTTTTTTTAATCCAGTGTCTTTTACTCTTACATGTCATCCACACTCTGCTGATGTATTTTGGCACTATTTCAACACCTCTGTGTACCAAAGTCTACATGTGCAAAATCTGCCAAAATCTGCTTTTTTCATAAATCACTTAATCAAATTGAACACTTTTTAAAATGATCAAACATTAAATTATTTTCAGGATTTTAAGCCTTTAAATGCCAGTTTAAACATTTGAATGATCAATTATGTATTATGAAAAAACTCACAAAAAAACTAATTTTCCATCTAATAAATAGGATGAGGATGGGACATTGGGGGTGATTAGATTCTTGGACATGTCAAAGAAAAGAAACAAAATTGATTTGTTCGCATCATTATTTTTTGTGTTGTGCCTCTCCACACAAAAATTCACTTCCATTGAAACCACATTTTTTTAATCTCTCTTGTAATATTCTTTTAGTATAAAACCATTCATTCTGTAACGTCACCATTTCACTTTGAAGAAAAGTAATGATTTTTACCATTTTTAATCTTTTCCATTAGATTCAGCCATTTTGCCATTGTAGGCTAATGCAAAGTTCTTGTCTTTTTGCCACTTATATTATAGAGCCATGTGACCACCAGGGAGCCGCAAGAGTGATTTGTATGGATGTGTGTGTGGAACAAATTTTAAATCAACATCTGATTCATCAATGAGCACATTTATTATGCAAACTGCACAAAAACTGAAAATGTCACCAACAAAAGATAAAAACAACTGAACACATGAAATATGTATCCATTTGAAATTGAAATATCCAAGCTTTGAAAATGTGATGTATGTGTGTGTTTGGGAGAGGATACGTCTATTTGTGTGTGTGTGTGTGTGTGTGTGTGTGTGTGTGTGTGTGTGTGTGTGTGTGTGTGTGTGTGTGCATGACTTTTATGCTCATATGATATTTCACAATTAGTAAACATTTTATTTTCTTTATGCTGAATTAGATTTTGTGAGAGATTAACTTGAATTGATGCTGCATGGTTAAACCTTTTGAAAAATATATATATTCAAAAAAAAAGTCTAAATGACAAATCATTGTCACATTCTGTGATGATGATGATGATGATGATGATGAAGCCTATATTTGTCACTTGCAGTTGCCTGCAGCGAAATTGGACCCCTTTCAACCATACATACATTACACAAACATAACACTGGGAAGACAGGTTAGAACAGGTAGTGTTAAGGACAAACAATGAAATGTACAACACAATAGGGCAGTGGAGAAGAAAAAAGAGAACTCTACTCAGACTGAGCTCCTAATAGGGGATCAGTCTGAGAACAGAAAACAAAAACTCCTCAGCACAAAAGCACATGAATGTTCACACTGTAACACCATGACAAGCAACAGGGTTGTGTAAATAGGGTTAGAGTGAGCCATGTACTAATTTCACAAATATGATGAACTTACCAGTTATGGTAATGTTGACACTGTTGCTTCTCTGACGTTTTTAATCTCACACCAGTACTCTGCACTGTCTGTTAGATATGTTTGAGAAATTGTGCATGAAGAGGAAGTTCTTTTACTGTTACACGCTGGACTAAAATGTTCTAACTTTTCCTCAGTGGTTTTGACTCCTCTGAGTTCAGTAGAACCATCAGGGCTCTTACAATCAAAAGATAAAGAAAGTGTTGGAGCCTGTTAGGAGTCACAAGAGTAGCTGCACCTAAAAATTAGAAACAACACAAGATGTTAACAGATTAATCAAAATCCTTCTAAAATGTTTTTCTAATTTCTCTTACTCACTCAAGTTTGCATGGGTTCTCTCTGGGTTCTCCCCGGCTTCCTCCCACAGTTCAAAGACAAGCTGGTAGTGGGGTTAGGCTAATTGGTAATTCTAAATTGCCCATAGATGTGAATGGTTGTCTGTATCTCTGTGTTAGCCCTGCAATAGACTGGTAACCCGTCCACGGTGTACGCTGCCTCTCACCCTGTAATAGCTAGGATATGCTCCAGTGCCCCTGTGACCTTGACATGGAAAGATATATGGATGGAGAGACAGCTATGTGACATTTGTTAGATATCCATTAAATTGGAGAGAAAAGAAAGGTGTGCATAACAAGTTTTATGTTAACCACACTCCAAAGTTTTTTGAAGAGTTAATAAAAATAACAATTTCAATGAACTTCAGTAGGATGAACTCAATCAAATTACGTTGTACTCAACTGCAGTAAATAAGTTACAGTTTTTCTGAATTGCTAAAACACTAAATCCCATTGTAAAAACTAAACTGTCAACTATGAAAACTCTTTCATCAAATCAATCCCACAGTTGCCAAAATCTTAAACACTATTTATCTGGTTAGGACGCCATTTGCAAATCTGAATCTCCCATTTACCAGAACTTTAAACATATTCTCAAACACAGAACACATTTAGCAATGTGGTGCACTTGTACCCAGAATGATGCTCACAGGCTACAGAAGTTAAACACAACTAACACACTGTTTGCATCATTAACACACTACCTCTCAAAATTGAAAACATATGTTGCAGCCTCTTCTTCTGCTTTTTGCTAGATTGAATATAGCTTCATCCATGAAAATGTATTCATGAGGTCTAACCATTGAGTCAATGCTCAAAGATTCTCTGTACATTCTGTAAATGAAATAGTATGATGTATACATGTGCTATGAATCCAAGTATACTTATAACTAAATGGTATTGTGTTTAGAATTGAAATACAGCAGTGGATTATAGAAGACAACATCTAGCAAAAAGGAGAAGAAAAGGTCTTCTCATAGGTCAGTGTGCCATTAGTGAACTGCCTGGTCAGCGTGGTGGAAATCTAACTATCTGTGCTGCCATCAGCAGCTATGGGGTTCTCCACAGTCATGTCACTGTTGGGCCATACAACACCGAACTTCTAGCAACATTCCTGGATGGTCTACGGGATGCTTTGCTTGAGTAGAGAGATCGCGAGCAGGCAGAGCATCCCATATCATTTGGGCCAATGTGACCTTTTCTCCGGGGTCCAAGAATATGCAACTGGTTTCACAATGAGCAGCACTTTATCAATGTGTTTCCTCCACCATACTCTCCCTTTTTGAACCCTATCGAGGAGTTTTCTCAGCATGAAGATGTAAATTATAAGACCAAAACCCTTACACACAGGAAAATCTACTTCAAGCAGTGAATGGAGCATGTGGCGAGAGCTGGATTGGACATGCTAAATGATTCCGTTGCATTGCAAGGAAGACCATAGCATGTAATGTGGATGAAGTCCTGTGGCCAGACCCACCACAGAGGCTGAGGCAGGATAAATTATCTGAATATGTTGTAAAAATACTTTTTTTTTTTTAACTGCAATTCTGTTTTTTGGTAAAATGTGAGTACAAGAATAAATAAATGAATAGATAAATATTATTTTCCAGCTATCTCACAGTGTTTTGTATTTATTTTTGTAGTGTGTAATTGTTGCTAAGTTGTGTTTGCACATTGGCTGGTTTTGTGTGGCTTTTGGGACTAGTGGTTGATTTTGAGTAAAGTTAAAATAGTTTTGGGTCAAATGTTTGGTTTTGCAAGACAAGTTAAAGGTTATGTGAGCGTAGCTTGAATTTTACACTTTGTGTTTAGTGTTTTGAGACAAAGATGAGATTTTAGGAAATGTGTTTTAGCAATTCAGAAAAACTGTAATTCATCAATTAGTCCAAGTTGGTCCAACTCAGCTACATTAAGTTGGAATAACAGAACTGCATAATCCTAAAATAAAGCATTTTAATCATTTGGCAGTTCTCTACAGGATTGTTTTCTGTTCAATATTTATTTTTTGAGTGTTAGTCGAAATAAATAAATAAATTAACAAAAGTAAAAGCTTTTTAAGCTCATATCCAGCAAATGTGAACACATGGTACAATGAACCATGGTACATATAAAATTTGACCCAACACAGATATGTTTTTATCACTGTGAAGCGTTTATTGACGTGACCCACACCTCCCCTGCAGCTGAGCCAGGGACCACACCTCCACAGTACATTACTGCCACTAACTGGTATGTAGTATGGAGTAGAACATTGCTCTATATTCCACTGAGAACTGTGGAGATGTGTGGGGAGGGCAAACTTATATCAAGCGGGCCCCAAGTTGTAATGAAGTGTAATGGAAGTGTTGAGGGGCAGACCTACCATGGGGCCATGGACTAACACTCAAGGAGAACAAAGAGGATTTTCTCTGAGTAATCTGTATTGGGGTAAACCAAATGGACAACACTGTCCGAGCTTTCTTTCTTTTATTTAGTTTTTTACAGTTTTACTCTTACTTTCACATTTCTATAAGATTGTAAGAGATTTATCAGCAAATCTGCTCCCTGCAGAAAAAATACACCAAATAACTACAAATTCTTCATGAGCTTTATAAGATAACAAAGAAACAGTCCTCACTAACAGTGTTTTTTTTTATTGCTGCTACAGTGTTTATGAAACTTATGTGTTACTTAATAACAGCCTCAAAGTTCACCTACACAAAGACAGTGAAACTATCACTGATCATTTGTACTTGTTTTTCTTTCACAGTAATTCAGTGAGTTGCAGAGAGAGAGCACAGTCAACAGGTGCGTTGTCTTCTAAATTTAATGTTGTTATTAATGGGACATGTAGCTTGTGTCTAAAAAACTGTTAAAACCATTAGAGTCAAACTTGGTTTGAAGAATATAGTCCAAGTGTGAGTTGTTCTGAAGCTTTCATGTAGGTCAGAAAAGTGCATCTATAAACCGGATGTATCTGTAACTTTACAATAGGTGACAGTACTGTAATTGCATAAGGCAGTATAGATAGGATGATCTACACCCCGTGAAGTACTGCTACAAAAAAAGCATGATTTATGTAGATATGCAAGTTAGATGACAGACAAGAATTCCTCCCTGGAATTCATTTAGTCCTAATTGTACAACTTATGTTACTGAAACACAAAACAGAATTTTCCAGTCAGCAGTATTTTCCATTGTATTAATGTTATCTGTCTGTTTTCAGAGCTGCAGGATGGCTCATCAGCAGAACGGACTGTTTCCTCAATCACTGCTCAAAGCTTTCAGTGTTCTGATCTTCCACATTCTCCTAAAGGATGTCTGCAATGGTAATTCATGCATAAATAAATACTGTTGTTGTTTTTTGTCATATTTGAAGCACACATTTTAATTATTTATATTTGACCTTGAAACATGCCTTCATTGAGATCCATGTTTAATAAGTCAAAGCAACACTGGTAAGATACAGAACAGCTTTTCAATTTCTGTCAGCAGAGGTATTTGAATAGGATAGGTATACAGTATTATACATCAACATACACTGTACTCTGACACCAACAATAATCTTAATAGTTTTAGAATCAGAGAAGATGCTTGTTAGAAACATGGCTGACTGCACAGATACATCTTGCAGAGAATTGCTGAAACAATTTTAGCCCATTACAAATTCATAGTAATTGTAATATTTAGAATCCATTCATGCTCTTCACTCATCTGCCATGATCCACTGGCAGAAGCCATGTGATGCTGTTGGCCTCTGCTAGCACCAATTTAGTGTAGACATAAATACATGACAGTTTGAGGTGAATTGTCTCTTAAAGGGAAATAACAACTTGGGGTGAACATAAAAGTTTACAGTTTACATGCATCTAGTCTCCACGTCACACCTTTAGGTTCAGTAATTTAAAAAAATATTGTGAGATAAAATAAAATAAAAAGCTAAAAACAATCCCTTCTGGCCATTTCTTATTTAAGAATTATGATTACTTGTTTTCAGGTCAGCCTCAGTTGATTGGTCTATCTCAGGTCCTGGTGGCAAGAGCTGGTGATGATGTAATTTTGCCATGTCATCTGGAACCTGCATACGATGTTTCTGCAAAGACACTGGAGTGGACAAGATCTTCCCTTGACCCTAGATTTGTCTACGTTTCACGTGCCAGTCAGGAACTCGAAAAATTAAAAAATCCTTCTTTCAAAGGAAGGACGTCATTGTTTGTTGATGAACTCAAGTATGGAAATATTTCACTGAAAATCTCCAAAGTGAAATTTACCGATACAGGGACATACAAATGCTATATTCCAGATTTGGAAAAAGAAGCTTTAGTCGAGCTAGTTGTTGGTAAGTAGCTTCATGTTGATGGTCTTGATTGTATAGTCTTGTCCCTGGGATCATTTGAAAGCTCTTTGCCCTTGCCCATGGTGATGGAGAGGTTGAATTGGAAGAAATTGATTCTGTAACATCTTTTTTCTGGGCTTTTGGTTGATGGTCTTTTTCCTTGTTTAAAATTAAGGCATGACATAAAAATTTGAGACAGTTCATTTCTTTGTAAGTGACCAAACTTAGAAATTCAGAACTCTATTAGTTTTACAGGTACACAAGTATATTTTTGAATCTTATAATATCATTAATGCCCCTTGACTTTTAAATTCCATTTTTTCTTTCGCTCAGCATCAGATGCTGCCACCTCACCTATCATCAGTTTATCAGGGATTGACAAAAACAGAGGAGGAGTGGTGTTACAGTGTGAGTCTGCAGGCTGGTATCCAGAGCCTGAGCTGCTGTGGTTGGACGGTGAGGGAAACCTCCTCTCTGCTGGACCTACAGAGACCCTCAGAGGTCCTGATGACCTCTATACTGTCAGCAGCAGAGTGACTGTGGAGAAGAGACACAGCAACAACATCACCTGCAGAGTCCAACAGAAGCAAATCAGCAAAAGCAGAGAGACACACAGACATGTTCCAGGTTCAAATTATATTATTACATTTATAGAAACACTTTTTGAACATCTGAAGTCCAGATTTCTAGAAATGTGTTTTGTTTTGTTTTTTTACCATTTCAGAGGATTTCTTTGAGATCCCGTCCAGTTCTTCCTCTGTCATCATCGTTTTGGCTGTTAGTTTGGCTCTTTGCATCATGTTGTTAATTTTATCAGCTGTTGTTCTTTTATGTAGAAAGAGGAAAAGCTTGATGAGTAAGTCACTGATTAATTATAGTTTACAGAGGAATCAAAGTTTTCATTGAGACTGATGAGAGGTTTAATATTTTAATCCAAGTTTGGGCATTTCCTTTTTATTTAATTTTAATTTCAAAAAGACACCAACAGAAGGACAAGAGATCACCCTGGTGGGGGAGATGCTGAGGATCCTCTGATGACAACAGAGGCAGAGAAACAAAATACGAGTAGCTCATCTACCAAAACTAAGAAGCAGACTTCATACGTGAGTAGATGAACATGAATAAGTTAAATATCAAGATATTCATTGTTTTCAGAAATTAGATGAAACACTAATCAGTATTTCACTATTAAATTACCTGAAATAAAGCTCAACAGAAAAAAGAAGAAAAAAACCTGCACACAGTTACCACACAGAAACTAGCTGCATTTTGGGCATTTACTAAGGTTGAGTAGAAAGAATTCTCTTTTGATTTAAAGGAATGAAACAGAAATAATGTGTTTCACATTATCATTATTAGATTATGACTCCAGTAATGTCACCACAGTCTCTGTTATTTATTTTTTAATATAATCAAACCTTTCCTGGATGGGAACTGGACCTTGTGTGATGACAACACATCACCAACAAACACACACAAAAAAGAAACATATTGATTTAAAAATACCACCCCAAAAAAGATAAAAAAAATACAAAAAAAAGTTTTTTTTTTACCTCATCATTGTGTTTTATGTTATATATGCAGATTTATTGATTGTGGCTTTAACCAGTGTTGCTCATGCTGTAATTCACATTACACTTAAAGTAATATACATTATACTCTTACATATAATGTAAGGGAGTACAATCCCACAAACTGACACAAATCTTCCTCCTAATGACGACACCAGAGTTGACAAAAGTAGACATATTCTGTACTTAATTTAATGTACAGATAGTAGTGTAAAAAAAAAAAACTCAGTAGAAGTTAAACTACTGATTCAATTTACTTTCAGTAAAAGTGAAATACTACAGACTTTGAAATTTACACAAAGTAAGAAAGTAAAAGTAGCTCTTTGAAAGATGTTTCTAACAGCAATTTTTTCCCCAAAGCTAACTAATAATAAAATAATATCAGTAAATAGGAATACAAACATTAGTTCAGTGTAAATTTTAGTTCTAATAAATGTATTTAGTTTGAATCACTTATGTAGAGATTGAGCAGACAAAAAAAAGAAAATTTAAAAGTTTTTGTTGCCTCCATTGTAGAGGGTCAGACTTACGGCAGCTGGACCTTTAAGAAGACATGAAAGCTGGACATATAAAGGCTAATTTACACACTGAGCCCTCAAACACTGACATATAGTGATGGGATTTCCGGTTCTTTTTAGAGAACCGGCTCTTTCGGCTTGGCTCACTAAAAAGAGTCAACTTTTTCGGCTCCAAACCAGCTCTTTAGGTTGTTTTGTTGCTTTAATTAATTTATTATTAACAATAATTATGCACAAAAAGGAATTACTAATGTAAAAATTAGTTTTATTTATATATATTTTTATATATAAATATATACAGTGGCAAAACACGTACAAACTCCAAAACACATTTCTATCATTAACTGAACTTCAAAACAGAGCTACCTAGATCACTTAAATTACACGATTGAAAGCATGAAAGCATGTGTGTATTGTTTGTGTATTTATCCACAAGCACTCATATATATTCAAATAATT